ACATTATTTTATATATATTAAATATTTATATATGTATTTTGATATAGTCTTAAAGTTAAAACCGGCCGTTTGAGTGCAACCACAATTCCTACGTGGCCCGTGATGAAATTGAGTTTGACACCCCTGGCCTAAACTATTCTCCCTGGCTGTCAGTAGTTGCCTTTTCATCATATTTCTGTCTTTCCGCCACACATGAACACAACTATTAACACACACACATACACATGTTAGGCTAGTGAAGCTAAATGTTTTATGAATCTTCCATCAACTTTCTTGTATTTCTAATAGCATTTAGACTCGTTGTGCGCTTTATTCAAGCCCATTCCTCCATGTTTTGAGGCCAGCCCTGAAAGGAGCACCCATTATGTCTCTGTGTTTGAGTCCATCCTCAGGGAGTAACCAACCTCCCTGTATTTAAACAGCAGGGCCTGTTTGTATCTTGATGGAAATCGCCCTCCTCTGAAAAGGCCAGCAGCCGATGAAGAGCAGAACAAGACCCTCTTACTGTGGCTCCCTTTTCTCTGGTCTGAGGATATAGAAAGCTAAAAAAGCAGTGTCAATATACAGTAGTCCTGTTAAAGGAATAATCAATATCTTACCATTTAGACAGTATGAGAGAAGACGAGTGAGGGATGAAGAAAGAATTGACTAAAGTGCAATATTTTGCAGGAAGAGTGTAGTTTAGATGTCCTAGAGTGTGAGCTGTGTGAACACACACTCTGTCCGGACATTTATCTGTAACGCCTGCTGCTCTGCTGACAGTCACTGCCCCGGGATGTTGCAATTAGAGGATATTTTAATTCAAATTGCCATAAAATCATGACAACATGTCTTTTTCAGCAGGAACCGTAAGTAAAACCTCCTTAGGCACATGTTGTACCGGATGTCAGCCACACATTGTCCGTCACATGGGGCTGTACAATGTTATTTCCACAGTCCCTAGGAGTAAATCTAATGAGCTTTTCTATAGCCACACTGGAATTATGCACAATTGCACAAACCACCAGGTGTTTTTATTACACAGCCTCAGTCCATTCAGCGCTATTCCCCCGCAGTGTTTCTGTGTATGTTTATGTTTCTATAAGGTATTCATGAGCAGGCAAAAGTGGAACATGGGGGAGGGGGGGTCCCACTAACTTTGGCTGCCCACTGTTTTGCCTGTCTGAATATTCGTCCCCGAAGGTTTGTTTAATTAAGGCCCTGGAATTAACTGCACTTTGAGATGTGAAGAGAAACAACTTCAAAACAACAACATGGCAGCCTAACCTCACACAACCCACTCTTGTATGCATAACATTCATCACTTTCATATCTAGGTCATCCAACTCTATCGAACAACTTTCATTAATCTCCGCTCATAGCGGGCACACTTTTATGTGGCTCTTATTCATTATATAATGTTTTGAGAGAAGGTGCATATTTTGCGATTCATTCAGTGTGTCCACCTTACAGAGACTGCCCAATGGCTCCATAGACGCCCACGATGAAGGCAGCCGGGTGTCCGAACTTCAGGAGCTGCTGGATCGGACAAACAAGGAGCTGGTCCAGAGCCGCGAGCACTCTGCCACTCTCAGCGGTCGTATGGCCGATCTCGAGGCAGAGCTCACAAATGCACGCAGAGAACTGTGCCGCAGCGAGGAACTGTCAATCAAACAACATAGGGAACAGAGAGAGGTGAGAGCAAAGGAAGCGTGCGTTTGTTCTGGGAGCAAGAACTGAGAACAGCAGGTTACAGACACACAAATGTTGCACCCTGCTGTTTTGTGTGGAAAAACATGGTTCTAAAATTAGACTATATATTAAATATATCGTCATTATTTAAATCATATAATATTCACTGGCATTTCTTTTGTTTGCAGAGAAATGGCTAAACACGTTATTGTGTTATTGCGTTTTACACTAGTAACTATTGACATGCTAGATTATTTAAAAAAGCAAAACATGTGATAAGAGTTTTCGAAAAGGATTTTAATGCTTGATGGTAAAGCAAAATAACTATAAGTACAGTATTATCGGTTAGTGCAGATGCTTTCAGGCTATAATACAGGTGTAAAGTGACGGCTGTCAATAGTCACTTTTTCCACAGAATACAAAAATGAAAATTAAGACATTTCTCAACGGAAAGGAATTTTTGCTGCTCTCTTCATTAAGTGACATACATGATACTAATTTAAACATGTCTTGTATACTAACTTCAAAATTCCATCATACTATGAAGGCTTATACGGATATGTGTATGTATCATAAATTGTAAAAGAGGGAAATTAAGTCATACATCTAGAGATAAAGTTCACTTGGTATGTCTTTTGGCCATACTTGTTGTTGTAGGCTTGTCTCCTTTGGTCTCCCAATTTGTTTTGTCATTGTGTCTCTGCACCCACAGAGGGAGGATATGGAGGAGAGGATAACAACACTAGAGAAACGCTACCTGGCTGCTCAGCGGGAGACCACACACATCCACGACCTCAACGACAAACTGGAGAATGAACTGGCCACCAAGGACTCGCTGCACCGCCAGGTAACACACACACACACCATCCACCAGGCATACTACACAGGGAACCGGTGTCAAAACAACAACACAGTGAGCGGCTTTTTCACCAATCAGTTAACGAAGCCTGACATTAAGGACCAAATCATATTTAGAAAATGTGCCATGTCATTATTCCGCTAGGGTCAGGCTTCCTAGGATGTGTTGTAGTCCAAATGTGTTGTTAAGTGACACAAAAATGGAGTTGTGTGAGATATGAATTCAGGCATATGTGCTCCCTCTTTCTGTATCTCAACAATTTAATATTTCAGTTCTTGAAAAGGACTTCAATGTATATAAGGAATTGAAGAATATTATAGTCCTTATGTGAGGCAGCATTAGAAACATCCTGCTGAAAGGTTCATATGTAGTTCAGGGTCACTCTGAGTTTAGCTCCACATGGGGAATTCAAGAAAAACATCCTCCATTTGTGCCCCATGCCTTGTGCCCTTTCTACTCACTGGCTGCACTGCACTGATTAAACCTCCCTTATGATTGCACTAATGTCCCTCTTGTTTCTTTGCGTGTGTGTGTGTCAGAGCGAGGAGAAGGTCCGCCAGTTGCAGGAGATGCTGGAGATGGCAGAGCAGAGGCTGGCTCAGACCATGAGGAAGGCTGAGACGCTGCCAGAGGTGGAAGCTGAACTGGCACAAAGAGTGGCTGCACTTTCCAAGGCAATGCACACACACACACACATACACACACACACACACACATACACACACACACACACACACACACACACACACACACACACACACACACACACACACACACACACACACACACACACACAGAGCTCTCCATTTTCCCGGTGCATTGTTGCATGAATTTGAACCGAGTACACATTTCTTGCTACAACTGACCGCCCCACAACACTGATTGGCTGCTATCTTTAGACTGGATAATTCACAAGGCAAATTTCTTTCACTTCCTGTGTGATATCATTTATTATCATTTGCTATATTTAGTCAGGACTTTTTGAGGACACATATGTGTGTAAGTGTGTGTTAATTTGATTAGAATTACTGTGGAATGCATATTTAAAGCCCAGCACTTCTAATGTAAAGGAAGCCGTTTAACCCTTTTTCATCGTCACGTAAATTACTGTAATTAAATCATTCTGGCTGTGAGTTCCTTTGTTGGCCAAGAGGACCTATACCTGGCAGCTGGTGATCTAGGGCTAAATACATCCTTCATCCTTTAATCCATGCTTGATTAGCTGCATAAATACATCCAAATGGAGTCTGTTTCAAAAGAGAAAATTTGTTGAAGTCATTCCGCCCCCTCGTCTGGTTCTCTCACCAGGCTCGTCAGAGAGAGAAGATGAATGAGGAGCACAACAAGCGCCTGTCTGACACCGTGGATCGTCTGCTCACCGAGTCCAACGAGAGACTGCAGCTCCATTTGAAAGAACGCATGGCTGCCCTGGAGGACAAGGCAAGGCCTTCAAACATACATTCATCTGAGCAGCAGCTCATATTGCAGATCTTATTGCCTCTCAGAATAAATGAATATACAGTTCAGCACATGTTGTACTTGGTAACACAGATTTATTTTGACGCTCTTTCATGGTTTCCTTTGTCTAGAACTCCCTCATTCAGGATCTTGAGAACTGCCAGAAACAGCTTGAAGAATTCCACCACACCCGGGTCAGTACGACTCAAATGAATTAACTAATCATTGAAAAGTAGAAGTATCTCCAGTGACTCCAAACCAATGCAGCATTGTAATGCCCTGGACGAGTGGGACTCTCCTCGTTGTATTGGATTTAAGTGCTTCTTATATTTTAATGAAAAAGTAGCATTTATTTAAGTTAAACGGCTCATTTTCTTTCAATAGCTTTCTTATCCCTTGATCCAATTATTTGAAATCAATTAAGCAATGTATTAATACACTAATACACTTTACCAGATATTATTACTGCACTGGATAAATAGGACACACAACTTCTTTGATTGGATTTTGGGCCATTTTCTTTTTTATATGTATATTGTTATAAGATTCTTCAGCTTCTTATAAAAATGCTTATTTCCTTTCAATAACTGTCATGTCACGGACACAATTAATCAAAATCCACACCAGACATTATAACTACAATGAATAAAAAGGGCACACTTTCATATAATTTCAGTCCACCTCCTATTTTATAAAATTAAATGAACACTGAATCTTGCAAGACCAATTCTGAAATACATTTGACTGGTTGGTACTTGAAATGTATATCAGAAATGTATTTTAAGACCCTCTGATCAGAGGCCAGGACATGTACTATAATTGAGCAACTCCTGGTTCAGCCCCCCCCTTTCATAAAAGAATGCAATGGAGTGGAGTTATGCTTAAGTTACACTTTAAGAAGGACATTTGAATAAATGGCCCACAATGTTCATCTCTCCCTCAGGAGCGGCTGATTGGAGAGATTGATAAGTTGAGAAATGAAATCGACCACTTGAAACGCCGCAGTGGAGCGTTTGGAGATGTGTCTCACTCTCGGTACACACACACACACACACACACACACACACACACACACACACACACACACACACACACACACACACACACACACACACAGTACACCTCTTAGCATGCTCTCTCATATACACTCTCTGAAAAATGCCACTGTGTACATTATTGATGGAAAGCTATTTCTCAGATCTCACCTTGGAAGCGCCAGCGACCTTCGCTTCTCTGTGGTGGAGGGCCAAGATGGCCACTACAGCACAACTGTGATCAGGAGGGCTCAGAAGGGCAGAATGTCAGCGCTGAGAGACGACCCAAACAAGGTGTTACTGATGTCTTTATCAGGCCAAAACAACCCTGCACTTCCTCACATACACATACATTAAGCAGATGACTTACATAAGATCATGTGTAAACTATTCTTCTTCTAACCACACGCTTTATCTAAGTTCATGTCCGCTTTGCTAATAAGTGCTTGGCTACCTAACTTGCCATTCTCTACTAACCTCTCTGTCTCTCTGTCTCTCTTTCACCTGCTGCCATGGACATGCTGTCTGATGTAAGTTTCCTATTCATCCATGTCTTCTCACATCTGGCCACATATTTCCTACCTTATGTCTATTTTTAAATGTATGCATTATTAAATGTATTCATGATCAATGTAGTGTAGGTGTATCTAAGATGGGGACTTCATCTACAGATGTTAAAGCTCACATGTGTTTGTTTTTCCAGGTGTGCGCTGTGTTTGAACAGGACTACCCGTCTCTCCGCGGGAGCGTCAGCCACCTCCTCGGCAGCGACATCGAGGCAGACTCTGACATGGATGATGACGTCAGCTCCACCCTGCTTTCCCCCAGCGGGCAATCTGACGCTCAGACTCTGGCTCTCATGCTGCAGGAGCAGCTCGATGCTATCAATGAAGAGATAAGGTGACAAAGCACAGGCACATTATATTACAGCACACAACAGTTTCATGATCCCCATGGGGAAAGTGGGTCAGTGCAGCAGCGAGAAACAGGATACAGATAAAGGGAGAACGAAGTATTCAAGATAGTACAACTAATAATTACAAGACAGGGGAAATGTTGATACTGCAGCAATATTAAGACGGCTAACAGCTGATAGTGGCATTAGATCAGGATGATAACATGTCGATACGACTCTTCATTCTTCAGTTTGATTCCTGCTGGAAGAGGATGCTGTTTATTGCAGTTTACAGTAATAAAGGTTCTCGTGTGACACCTCAGAATATGCTTCTGGTGAGGAGATGCAAATGCATGCTGATTATGCTGCAGAGGAGCCAGACTCCCCGGGAGAAAGAAATACTGCTATAAATAGATATTTTTAAAAATGCAGTATTTCTCAAGATCTTTTATTTTTTAAGAATAGTTTAATATAAAAAATACAATTTCTACAAGTGACAATTAAAAATCCAAACCAATAATTATTAATAAAAACACTTAAAAAAAGAATAATAATCATCATTATTGGAAACATTAACAAGTATAGGATGAATCCAGACATACAAAGTAACATATGTTATCAAAATACAATAGAAAAATAATTGTGGAACTTTACATCAAATACTCATTGCTCCAAAGAAATATGCGTTAAAAAAATAAAAAATAAAAAAACACAAACATAGAAAATACATTTGATTCCACATAAGTAGTGTTATACTTAATTAACACAGAAATCCAAGGGGTGTGTTGTTGAAGAGATGGGATGTCTGTTAACTGTGAATGTGTGTGTGTGTGTGTGTGTGTGTGTGTGTGTGTGTGTGTGTGTGTGTGTGTGTGTGTGTGTGTGTGTGTGTGTGTGTGTGTGTGTGTGTGTGTGTGTGTGCATGCAGGATGATCCAGGTGGAGAGGGAGTCAGCAGACCTGCGCTCTGACGAGATTGAGTCTCGTGTGAACAGTGGCAGCATGGACGGCCTCAACGTGACGCTGCGACCCAGGGCGCTGCCCACCTCCGCCACCGCCCAGTCCCTGGCATCGTCCTCCTCCCCCCCCACCAGTGGCCACTCCACACCTAAACACCACTCACGCAACGCCAGCCACCATCTAGGCATCATGACTCTGGTCAGAGCTCTGCATGTCATACAGCAGTGTGTTCATTGTAATAAAAAAGCTGTACCAGTAACTGGATGTTGTTTTGTTTTTTATAGCCAAGCGACTTGAGGAAACACCGCAGGAAAGTAGCGGTGAGTTTGCAAGTACAGCTGAAGTTTTTTTTTGTCCAACTGTGGCTCTTTTGACTGAGCTGAATTTCCTGTCTGACTCTTCTAGTCTCCGGTTGAAGTGGACAAAGCTACTATCAAGTGTGAGACATCGCCCCCCTCGTCCCCCCGAAGTTTACGGCTAGAAACCAATTTCGCCCAGTTCACCGGCAGTCTGGAGGACGGCAGAGGGTACACACACACACACACACACACACACACACACACACGGAAAAGCAACACAGTATTATATATCAGCATCAGTAGGTACAGACTTGCTGTCAGGTTATTTTATGGGTCCACTTAAACTTTTTAACAACGCATTTGGAAGATTTTAGCGTTTTCAACTTTATCTGTTTTAACTGTTTGCAGCAAGCAGAAGAAAGGCATCAAGTCATCTATTGGCCGACTGTTTGGGAAGAAGGAGAAGGGTCGAATGGAGCAGACTGCTGCTGTGTGCAGGGAGGTTCAGCCTCTACCGGCCCTAACAGGTACATTTCATAATACTAACGGTATCCCATAGTTAAGCCGACATTCAGACAAGGTGTGTTTTGTATGTAGAGATACAATTGAACACTGTTGCGCTGTTTTCCAGACTTTGACATGGGCATCGGTGACACTATGACTCTGGGAAAACTGGGCACGCAGGCTGAGAGGGATCGCAGGATGAAGAAAAAGTAAAAGCATCCTTTCTTTCTGTGTTTTTGTTCATTTAGTTATGTTCACCAAACGTTTTCACTCTTATGTCTCACTTCTCTTGTTAGACACGAGCTTCTGGAAGACGCCAGGAAAAGAGGCCTGCCATTTGCTCATTGGGACGGCCCTACAGTCGTCTCCTGGCTAGAGGTACTCCTCCAATCTACTTATATCTACTAACCATACATTTTTACAAAACCTGCCTCTGTCTTGCTTTCTTTATGTCAGGTATTATGCTACTACTATCTAATAAATAAGATAAATACAGTCATCACAGCCTGACCTGCAGCCCCTTCCCCTTTCTATCTGACCTTTTATGGCGACAATATTGGTGACGTTGAATATCTTGATGACTCTCACCAGCTGTGGGTGGGAATGCCAGCGTGGTATGTGGCAGCGTGTCGTGCCAACGTGAAGAGCGGAGCCGTGATGTCAGCTCTGTCTGACACAGAGATTCAGAGGGAGATTGGCATCAGCAACCCTCTGCACCGACTCAAACTGCGCTTGGCCATCCAGGAAATGGTTTCCCTCACCAGCCCCTCTGCACCCCTTACCTCCAGAACGGTAAAATAATATGAACAAATATACATCTGCATACACAAACAGCCGGAAAATAAATGAGCACATGGAGTTACACACAAATGTAATCCAAGGATTGTGAATATGATCACATTACCCGACACAAAACACTCAAAACATCCTCCACTGTCAGCTCAACCTTCACTCTGCACCCTGGGGTGAGAACTCTTCACTCTGTGTTGCTTTTTTTTTTGTTCAGACCACAGACTCTTCCGCTGCCATAAATTGCATGTGGATCTGTGGGAAACAGACACACACACAAAGTGCCACATATAGCTACAAGCTACCTGCCTGAAATACACTCCCTCCCTTGGCATCACTCAACACAATGTTTGTCTGTCTGTGTGTGTGTGCGTGTGTGCGTGTGTGCGTGTGTGTGTCTGTGGGTGTGTGTGCACATGGGGGACGGTTTGTGTGAAAATACACACTTGCTNCCTTGCTGTGTGATTGTTTTTCTGCTCGGTGCTTTATCTTATATCAGCCTGTCGCAGGCCGGATTTGGCCCCCGGGCCTTGAGTTTGACACCCCTGGTTTAGGCTGATATAAGATAAAGCACCGAGCAGAAAAACAATCACACAGCAAGGAAGACCTTCCATGTAGGTTTGGATCCATCTGTTCGCTCCAATGAGTCACCATCCTTCCTTTGTCTCACCGTGTTCAACTGCAATGTGATTAAAAGAAAAACACACAATGAGCAAACTCACACATGTACTGTCTATGAATCCAAGAACAAAACTTAGTTCATTAACTGGAAGCCTGGCTTTCTGGCTGCCAGCATGCTCCAGACATGACATATTTTACATAACTATAAATATGAATTATGGGGTCTGCTCCTCTTATAACACTGTGAGATCAGTGGCAGCTTTGACTTTAAATCTTACATAACCCACTGGGAGTCTGCTTTAACTGAGCCTGCTGTGAATATTAAACATATTTGTTATCTTTATAATGATGTCTTTAATGACATGTTTTAATAAAATACTACAGAAAGATGTGGGTGCTTTGTGTCACCCAGTGTAACACTTGAAGCATAGATCAAATCAGACTGGAGGCCTCAACAGATGTCTACAAGGGACCGAACAGATGTTTCACTCACCAATAACCACACACAGTCACGTACACACACACACATACACACACACACACACACACACACACACACACACACACACACACACACACACACACACACACACACACACACACACACACACACACACACACACACAATTGTTCACACACATCCACACACCTTACCTCTTGTGTGCTAGCTGTTAGCTGTCCCTCCAGAGAGGACACCCTCTCCAGAGCCACCCGAAGCCTTTCACGTACCTGCAAACACACCAAGAACACACACACCGAGACAAAGTCCAAACCCTTGAGGATACACACAGAGACCTATGTCGAAGCACAATCCTGGGCATGATTTAGAAACACAGGATTTGAATCTTGAAAAAGAGAGTGCTGTACAATCAATGTCCTTATTCAATTGGCTAGTATACCATTAGGGCTGTACAATAACAATGTTTTGACAATGTCACTAGAACATTTGAAAAACATGAATTAATCATAATATTTCTCTTAAATCATCTTTGTTCATGTTATGGACCCTACTATCTACACTCAAAATACAAATGTAGGGAGGTGAAAAGTGTCTGTAACCAGACCTGTATGTAAGAGTATAAAAATAATGCAAACATTATTCAGATAATATTATGACCAAAATTGAACGGAAATGTAACAAAAAGAGGATTTATTATGTTTTAAATTATTTTATTTTATTTGTATTTCTTTTTTATAAGTAACATAATATCTCTCAGTTTTCAATCTACTCCCATTTGTGACTTAATTTGCTGTATGCTGTCAATGCTAACTCAAGACTTCCTCCATGTGTTTCACTCAAAACTTATGATGTGCTGAGTTTCATGAACAGCTCTACTAAACCAAACTGATCAGATTTCTGAAGGAGGACAGCAAGTCTATTGATAGAGTAGGAGTCACATGTCATCAAAACACCAAATAATGCAATGTGTGTATGTTTGTGTATATATCCACCTTTTCATCCAGAGCCTTGTGGTGTTCAAACAGCGACTTCAGAGCTTTGAGGACCTCCACCTCACTGGAGACTCCTGATGGTGGGGGTGCCTGTCTCTTCACCACTGTCATCCTCAGACTGCGTTCGTGACGAGACACCAGACACTCCAGGTGCTCCAACAGCAGCTACAGCACACACACACACACACACACACACACACACACACACACACACACACACACACACACACACACACACACACACACACACACACACACACACACACACACATGAATGCATGCAACCAGCAAAGATAATTTTAATATTGAGATAAGAAACATTGTTGGTTTTAATCAGCATCACAACACACACATACCCTGGTGTTGTTCCTTTCAGCTTTGAGCTCAGATATTTCTTCCTCCTTCTCAAGCAGCTGCTCCCGGCATATGTTCAGCTCCTTCGTGAGGGTGGCAAACTCCTACAACACACACACACACACACACACACACACACACACACACACACACACACACACACACACACACACACACACACACACACACACACACACACACACACACACAGGTTAAAACTGTATCAGTGAACAACATAACAGGCTCTAGTTTTGTGAAACTGAGCACTTATATCTACCCTCTAATCTGAGGGTGCATACACATCTGGGCGTGGCTGACAGGGATTTGTTGTCAGGGTGGCACAAGCACATTCTTTGACACAGAGACAGGATGCTAGGACCTGCAGGAGGAATACTTTATCAGCAGGTGAGGTGAGGACAGGCTTAAATAATGGACAGTTCAGGCTGGCTTCTCCTAAAAGAACATTTGTTGTCCGAGGGAAGCTGTCTGGGGAAAAGCTCTCTGTCCACCTGCGATAAGAGGAGAGGCACTGACTGAGCTATCGGATCTGCATAAATACAACCTCAGCTCTGCCCACCTCAGCGTCCGCCTATAGTCTTTTTGGGAGCCATAACATTACAGTAGCAAGTGCAAAAAGAATTAGCGGTGTGTCTAAGTAAGCAAATGGTCAAGATCTAATTTACACTTGTGCAAAGTACAACAGAAAAAGGGTCAGGGTTTTGACTTCGCTGGTTCTAAGACATATCCACAGTGTGTTAACTGTGATTGAAGGACAACAATACAGCCTTAATGTGACAAAACTATGCAAATGATATTGGACATGATGTAATTGTAGAAGAAAAAAATCAACAGCCTGTGACTTTTATTCCTATACCAAACATGCAGCACTGATTATGAATGTTTGAATATATGTTTTGATGGTAACAACAATTTGATTTATTGATATTCATTCTGCAAGCTCCTTGATTTTGACAGATGGCTATGCACTTAACTGAAGCTTTTAAGCGCTCCAGACTTTAAAGCCTTTATATTTGAAAAACCTGAACGATGAATGGTTTCTGGTTGGTTGAGAACCACTCAGTTTCATCAATAACATGTTTAAAGCAATCTTCAGTCTTGCATAGTCATTTTGTACCAACCGGTGGCAAGGTATTGGGTGCAGACGTAATTGTGAGATACCTTTGACTTCCATGTTACGCAATATCATCTGTAACAGTGACATGTTGAGGTTGAAACAAAGAAAACATCAAGCAGTTTTACAGCAGAGTGAATATATACAATAAGCTTTAAGGCCTTATGGCTCAATGACAGGCGTTTTCACATGTCAAGTCATTATCTACATGCCCGAGTCTGTTGAATGTGCAGTGTTTGACGTCTATTTTCATCTCAGCTGTGTCCCACACTTTTCAAGATAGCAGCAGCACCTTTTCACAGCTCCACAAACAACCAGGGATTGCAAATTGATAGACATGTTATGCTCTTATGGAGCTGTAAAGAGGAGGCTCCATTAACTTTAATAGATTTGGGAGAAGGCTGTGATGGAACTGCAGCACTAACCTGCTGCGTGTTTGGTTTTTACAGTAAATAAACTTTAATAGCTTTTGCCTGGCAGTTTGTCATTTTGGAGTGAACGAGGCCTCAAGGCAGTGGTTCTCAACATTTTCAAAGTTGAAACCCCGCAGAATAATCAGGCTGATGTGTTTGTTTTCTCTCAACATGACCCGCCCTAAAATACCTTGTTATAAACTGCATGCACAATTTGACTCTCGATCAATAAAACTAATTCTATGGCAAATTATAGGCAGTGTAATGTAAAAAGCCTTCCCCAGAGAAAAATATATTATTTCATATGTATTATGTTATATCATTTCTTCTCCAGAACCATGTTGCTAGCTCTATAAATAATCTTGGGTTGGGACCCCCAGCTTAAAAAAACAATATTTTAAGGTGTATAGTTCTTACACTTGCTTTTTGCATTTCTGTATTTGACAATGTATTTACTGGATATCTGATATCTATTAACCTAATGCAATAAATACACCATACACCATTACTGCAAGATAACGTGCAATGCATTTGTAAAGATGTTGTGAAATCCTGACAATGTCAGATGTCTTCTGCTGAAAATGATAAGCTTCAGCCCTGGTCTGGGATTAAAGGGTCTCCACATTCTGTCTCGCTCAGAGAAATCACAGCAGCACATGTCCTGACAGAAGTCTCCTCATATCAGTGGAAGAAAGGAGGTGAAGTGTCACTCCCTGCTTCTGTCCTTCTTGTAAAACTAATATTTCAAAATCTTGCAGCTCTCTGAGTAGTCATATATTTTATTCGGTTCTTTCTACCTGATCAGATTCAGGGAGAGAGGCCCACAGTGCTGCTGTGTACGTCAGGGACCAGGCCAGAGTCACACAGTTTCTGCTGCATTCTTTAAATATGATCTGCGGTGTAGCAGAGATTGGTGTATATCGGAATTTGTGCCAGTGTGTGTGAGAGTTTGATGGTGGTGTGTGTGTGCATATTGTTTGAACATCTCTTTGTGCTTTGTTAGCATTTCCTGTAGGCTTGGCTTTAGACCAAACTAATACCCAGTGGCATGCTCTCTATGCTAGTCTCAAACGCACACAGGCACACACATAAATACACACACACACACACACACACACACACACACACACACACACACACACACACACACACACACACACACACACACAAAGCTTTGTAAACCATCCATGGCTAACGGTTAGTCTAGTTTTTTTCTAAGAATATTCAGGATCAGGAACTAAACATGTTATATGGACAGCATTTTGAAAATGCTCAGTGTCCCTCTTAATTCGCCCTGTGCTTTTGATATTTGTCCTGTAAACTCACCTGTTTGCAGGTGTTTTACTTTATAGGTATAAACCAACATTGCATCAAGTGGGACAGGCCAAACACATAAACAGCACACTAGAAAGCAGACAAACACACACACTCTTACAGACTTACTTTCTGTACACACACAACTGACACAAAACAAACTGGGTCTCTGTTGACTCTGCCCATCACACGGAAAGAAAAGTCAGTGGAGTGGGAGGGGGCGGCTGAAGAGGGAAGAGAGAGGGAAGGAGCATCGGGAGGGAAGGGGGAAAATGGGTCAGCGTGTTCATTTTACTTTCCCTTATTCCACAGGGGCGCTCCAATAGACAGGAGCTCAGCCCAAATCCATCAACAGATGTTAGAGCTCACTGTCTCTTTCAATCAGGGCAAAGAGCCTCAACAGGCCACCTCTCATGCTCATAGTTCATCCTTTCATCCCTTCATCCCACTGCCTTTCAGGATCTCTCTGCATCTCCCCTATAACTACTTCACTGCTAGAAACAAAATGGAAATACATGCCAACTAAGTCAGAATAGCTAAGAGGTATGAATACATAACCTTTTTTAAGCTGCATTCACATTACGTTTTCTACTGTTACCTCCTCTGCCAGCTAGCGTCGCTAAATACAGCTGTGATCTGATTTGTTGCCCAAAAGATAAACGGTAACTAAGTCAAAGTGGAAATCACTTGAACTTCATCTGCAACCTTTTGGAGCAGTGGCCGATGGTGGTGCTTCGATCTAGTCGGACGGCAGCGCTTTCTTGGGGACGGCAATGCCAGCGCAGAGGCGTTTTTACTCGTATCATGTGAAAGCAGCTTTAGAGTCTTTTATAACAGGACAGACAAGTGATATATAGAAAGTTTAACATATCACTATCTAGACAAAATAAATGTCTCTTTAATTTCTCATGAGGTCTAACCCTTTCCTCCTGGCAGTGTCTTCTGCTTTTATTGTCTTCTCCACACACACACACACACACACACACACACACACACACACACACACACACACACACACACACACACACACACACACACAAAATGTACTATTGTACTATGTACAATTCAATCCTGCAATTGTAACCCCCACCAAATTCGTATGAGCCATAAGAAATCCCAGGGTGCTTATTGAACCTCATACAACAGTCAGATACAGAGAGCAGCTCTGACAGCACAACGTCAACCTCTGTCAGAGAGTCACATAGAGCGGAGAGACGGTTCTGGGGCGTCTGGAGTAATGCTGCACCTCTGCCTCCAACCATAATGTGAGATAGCAAGTGGTTACCAAACAGGGCTGAGCCCAGACATTGTAAAGGGATTTCTCCACTTCGCTTCTTTAAGCAGTTTGGGATTAAGGGATGGAAAAAATGCTGTGAGAGTGTGTGTGTGTGTGTGTGTGTGTGTGTGTGTGTGTGTGTGTGTGTGTGTGTGTGTGTGTGTGTGTGTGAGTAGAGAGTGAGGCATAAAGATTGGAGTGCAGTCGAATACATAAAAGTCCAAAACACAGTCCAAAAAAGTTCATTGTGTGTGTGCTTAATTACGTATGAAAGTGTTGCGTATATTTAATACGAACACTAAGATACATGATAGGAAATGCATTTACGCAAAAGGTAGAAAATATACATTGTACAGCAGCATAACCCCACCTTTTATTCCAACAATACTGCTGTACGGTTTGATGCAAATAAACACTAAGTGTGAATTTCTATGTGAATGTGTGGGTACACCGAAGGCAGGTGCTGTCACACTCCTAGAGTTCTGTCACGTTGGTAATTTTGTGTGTTTGGGTTTCGCTGTCATGTTATTCTCCTGGGTTATTGTCTGGTCCTTTTCCCTGTGTTTTTCCTCCCGTCGTTAGTTTCCCTGCTGTGTCTAGTTGTTTGATTGTGTTCACCTGTGGCCCTTGTGTTTCTCCTCCCCTGCCCGGCTGTTTCTCGTCTTGTGATTACCCCTCCCTGTATTTAGTCTCGTCTCCTCCTGTGTTCAGTGTTGGTGCTTCTTTTGTATGTGACCCAGTTCACCGAAGAGTGTTTTGTTTGTCCAAGTTTATTTAAAGTCCTTGAAATAAAGGTATCGTCAAGTGTAATCTGCATTTGGGTCCTACCTGCTTCACTCTTCGTAACAGGTGCTTTCGCAGTAATCACAAAGCACGTCATCCTTTTTGAGTTTGCCAGTTATTTCCTGTTTGTCTTTCAACAGTAAAGCTGTTGGTGAAGAAACTGAGTACTTTGAGGACCTTGTTCCT